CATACACAGCACCCTTCTGTCACCTGTGGAAACCTTCAATTTCCTGGGAATTATCATTTCCCAAGACCTGAAGTGGGAGAGCAACATCTCCTCCATCCTCTAGAAGGCCCAGCAGAGAATGTACTTCCTGTGACAACTGAGGAAGCACGATCGCGCACAGGAACTGCTGATCCAGTTTTACTCAGCAGTCATTGATTCCATTCTGTGTCCCAAAGTCTGGTTTGGAGCAGCCACCAAACAGGAGTGGAACAGACTGCAACGGACAGTTAGGTCATCATTGGTGCCCCCCTGCCCTCCCTCCAGGACTTCTAGAACCATTAAAAGGGCAGAAAAAAATCATCACTGACCCATCACACCCTGGACACTGTCTTTTTGAATTCCTCCCCTCTGGCAGATGATTGAGAAGTCTGCAGACCAGGACCAGTCACCACAGGAACAGTTTATTCCCTCAACCCATCACCCTTACAAACATCTGACCTGCAACATCAATCTACACCTGTTTCCCTACTGCTACACCCTGCTCCACTCACAACACACCATTAAACTGAATCTAAGACAACCCATACACTTTGCACCTTGTATGTTGTTTGCACTTTATGTACATTGTCTGTCTGTATGTAAGATGTCTTTTATATTGTATTTAATCTGTACTGTTTTGTTATATTGTATTGTAATGTACCGGAGAGACACCAACTGTCGGAAACAAATTTATTGTGTGTGCCACACACACACTTAACCTGATTCTGATTCTGTTGGCATGACACAGGACTGATGGTAACACTCACCTTTTCTTCTCCGGACAATATATTTTTCCAGATCCCCCAAACAATTGTAAAGGGGTTTCATCAGAGAAAAAAATGACTTTACCCCAGTCCTCAGCAGTCCAATCACTGTACCTTTTCCAGAATTTCAGTGTGCCCCTTATGTTTTTTTGGAGAGAAGTGGCTTCTTTGCTGCCTTTTTTGACACCAGGCCATCCTCCAAAAGTCTTCGCCTCACTGCGTGTGCAGATGGACTCACACCTGCCTGCTGCCATTCCTGAGCAAGCTGTGCACTGGTGGTGCCCCGATCCTGCAGCTGAATCAACTTTAGGAGACAGTCCTGGCACTTGCTGGACTTTCTTGGGTGTGCTGAAGCCTTCTTTACAACAATTGAACCTCTCTCCTTGAAGTTCTTGATGATCCAATAAAAGGTTGATTTAGGTGCAATCTTACTAGCAGCAATATCCTTGCCTTGCTTTTTCTGCAAAGCAATGATGACTGAACATGTTTTCTTGCAGGTTACCATGGTTAACAGAGGAAGAACTATGATTTCAAGCACCACCCTCCATTTAAAGCATCCAGTCTGCTATTCTAGCTCAATAAGTACGACAGAGTGATCTCCTGCCTTGTCCTTGTCAACACTTTCTCATGTGTAATGAGAGAATGACTGAAATGATGTCATCAGGCCCTTTTGTGGCATGGCTAAAATGCAGTGGAAATGGGTTTTTTGGGATTAAGTTTATTTTCATGGCAAACAGGGACTTTGCAAATAATTGCAATTCATCTGATCACTCTTCATAACATTCTGGAGTATATGCAAATTGCCACCATAAGCAGACTTTGTGAAAATCAATATTTGTGTCATATTGTACTAAACTACCTTTTTGTCTCACCATCCCCAGTCCAGTCATTAACATCAGTCCTCCTGTTGCCTGCACCCTTCCCAGTGTTCCCAGTCTTTCTGTTTTGACCCCTCATTGTCCTGTTTGTTTCCCTGCTCCTGTTTTGGTTTAATAGAGCCCATTTTTGTACTCCTGATGCCTGCCCTCGAGTCCTTCATTTCTCGTGCTGTGACACGATGTAGCTATGCGCAGTATAGATTTATTTTTTGATCTTAACCATCAATGTGTTGTTTTCAGTTAAAATGTGCAACATGTTATGTGACATGCTAAATGAAAAGGAAGTGAAAGAATCAATGACAATAAGGACCCAGTGCAGCACTAAACCAAAATCAGAGTATAAAATCTTACCAGGAATTGTAAAATCATCCAGGAAATGAGGAATACTAGAACAACATCCATGGATGTACAGGCTTTTCAGTCAGCAGCTTCATGACCTGCCCTGAGTTGTGTGTTTCTGTGAGTATTTGCCCTCCTCAGGTCTGGCATCCTGTCAAGGGTGTATCCTGCTTTTGTGCCATGTGCTTCCTGTCATAAGTTTACATAGCTTTTACCAGATTTCTGTTATGTAATACCAGAAATCAAAATAAACACCCTTGTGAAACCTCAGCTTCTTTCAGAGTCGAATGATGAGGCAAGTTACTTAAGCTTAAGCAGTTTATTAAGAAAGAATGAAAATGTTCACACACAGCCGGCTCTGTCTGTCAGATAGCCTTGGTGAGAGTTGTATGAGATAGGCAAAGAACATGATGTGAGGAAGCAAGTAGCAAGGACAGAAAGAAATATAAAAATAAGAAATAAAAATGTTATAAATGAGTGAACTAAATGAAATTAAATAACTACAAATGATTCGGCACAAAGCCTTGGAACTACACTAGGTTCTAAAAACTATGTGTCGCATTTTACAAAGTGCAGCAAATACCAGATCACAACATCAGTCAAAATTAATCAATGATCTTCATCATATTTGGCAACCAGGTTAACAGGAATGATTTGCATAATCTATCAGAAAAGCAAATGTGTATAAGGTTTATATCACATTGTGAGGACCAACTGTCTAGCACCATGTAATAAAAATCTGTTATTTTAACATTGTGGGGACCATTTTTCAGGTCCCCACAAAGATCTGCGAACGCAATCAAAAAACTCATAACCTCATAATTTGTTTGGTTACTTATAATTAATGTTAGGGTTGGATATGGGTTAAGGCTGTCATGTTGTGATTAGAGTTTTTCACATAGGAATGAATGCAGAGTACCCACAAAGATTTAATTACAAGCCTGTGTGTGTGTGTGTGTGTGTGTGTATGTGTGTCTGTATGTATGTATGTGTATATACATGTGAACATAAGACACAGCACAATTTTTAGTTTCACTTATTGCTCGATTTGTGGGTTTGCATCTGTGAATTATATATTCAGACATTCCTCTACTTGCGAACGAGATATGTTCCGAACAGCCGTTCGTAACTTGAAATGTTCATAAATCGTTATTCAGCATCATTTTAAGGGTATACGCAAGTACAAAGAACTAGGATGCTGGGAATACGCACACAATGCTGCTGTGCAGCGGGAGTAGCGACCAGAAGTTGTACTAGGCAGAATTGGCACGCAGAAAAAACAAATTGATGTTGCGGACAGAAAACGGGAGCCCAATCAACACAATTTGGACTTACAGTCCTCTTCGTTCGTATGTCTGAATATTTGTAAGTTGAAAGTGCATAAGCAGAGTAGCGTCTGTACATATATATTTTTTGCAGACTGTAGTCTGGTTCTTCTCTGTTTCTCATTAATGAATGGCTTCTTCCTTGCTTTATGGGACATCAGTCTTGCTTCTAGGATCCTGAAACAAACTGTCCTAGCAGTTCACTTTGTACCTGCACTTAATGTTTCCCATACTTTTTGAAGGTCACTTGATGCCATCCTCTGATTCAAGAGAAGCTGTTGGATAAGTTAACGGTCATCTCTGACATTAGAAAGTCACTTCCACACTTACACACAGCACAGATGAACATAAATGTAGTGTACAAATACAAATCTGTAGCTACATGTACAAGGCAACAACCCTTGACACAAATTTAAGCAATAGTTCAGTAAGTTAAAGGCTATAAAGCCTTTACTAGCGGTGTAACGGTACGCAAAATTCGTGATTTGTTACAGCAGGAAATCGGAATTTGTTATTTTAAATAACAGTACTTTTACTTAAGTGTTATTAATTTCAGGAATTGTACTAAATTACTTTCTATGCAACATATGGAAACTGGGAAATTTGGTAAAATATGCGATTATGTTGTTATATGTGTAGCACGATTAAATGAAAATTGCTGTGTTGCATACTTGGTAAATCTTTAAGAGGCTATGTGTCATCAAGACCAAAAGGAAATAAGACACAAAATCATTAATTAATCATGAACTGTGCCCAGTGCGGGAGGGGGGGCAATCGTGCTAGGGTACAGTACAAGGCAACCAGGCCACGTGTGAGCACGCCCTTAAACCAGCCTGGCAGTTCTTCAGACTGATTGTTATGGCTATGATAAAGTTTGATTAAAGCTTTTCTTACTTGTTAGTGTTGCTATCTAATCCACTAAATGGGAGAGATTAATTAATGGTTGCTTAATTAATAACAAGGATGGAAATTGTGATGATGCATTTAAAATTTTAGCAGGTAAATCTTTATTTCAATACATATATTTATAATTTTAGATTATGTTGTGGGCTGTCTAAAACAGTGTGTCACAAACTTTTTACTTGTTTGAAACCACCTCAGAAAGTATTACGTTCATGAAGAAGTTGTTGGGGGTGGCAACAGTAAGCTGCATACCACTATCATCACTGATGTTTACATAAATTGATACCTTTGTGTACTATATGAGAACTTAAAAAGATTAGCGATGTAGACTATCAGATAGGGGTTTCTATCTACTACTGCTCCTCTGACCTGCGGTGTGCCTCAAGGCTTGATTCTCAGACCAGTGCTGTTTTCTTTATACATCCTTCCACTGTCTTGTCGTAATCGTGTTCGGGGAAGCAAGAGTAGGGAAATGGAGAGCCAGGAATTCAGAGTTTATTGGGGAGAAACAGCGCATTCGGGGCAGACTTGCAGCAACGATAAAGGACATTACTGACAGGACTGGGGAAACATACTTGAGCGTGGACTGAAAAAATATGAAACAGCTGGTAACAATCGGGATTTCACACAAGGTTAATGACGGTGCATGGCACACAGGAGGATCAGACAAGCAGGGCATGACAGAACCCTTCCCTAAAGGGTCGCATTCCAGGCACGCCCAAGGGGAGCGAAAAGACAGGACTGGGGAAACCTGGAAAACAAAAGCAAAACGATCAACGGGGAACCGGGAACCGCAACGGCGCACCCACAGCTGGCGAAGGCGACCGGCGAGTCGAAGTGGGGGGACCCACAGGTGACGAGGCGTCAGAGCCAGGGCCAAAGGCATCGGAGGGCGGACCCGCAGGCAACCGCCGAGCAGGAGCCCAGGGGACCACAGGCGACCACCGAGCATGAGCTGGAGGACCTGCAGGCACCCCTCGAGCCACAGCCATAGGGACCGAGGGCAAGCCAGGGGGCAGGGCGGGTGGGACCCGACCCCAGCATAGGTGTCCTCTCCCTTTCTGGGAGACCAAAAGGTGGGGACCTGGCCTACCATGCTGGGGTACTCCACCAGAGGTGTCCAATGGGGCCATTAGGGAAATCCCCGAGGGGTCCCATTCGAGCTCCTCCTCCCCCAAGGAGTAAGGAGCAGGTGTCAGGCAGTCCAGGACCTCCTCTGGGACAGGGACTGGTGTCACAGGAGCTGGGGACACGGGTACAGGGTCTGGTGGATAGGGGACAGGGTTCAAGAGAGCTGGGGTTGCAGGAGTCACAGGGGCCAGAGCAGAAACTTTAGGGGCTGGAGCAGGAGTATCAGGAACAGGAAGAGGCGGAGCAGGAGCCTCTGTGGGCGTAGCAGGGACCGGCGGAGCAGGAACCTCTGGGAGCAGGTCAGGAACCAGAAAGGGAACCTCCGGGGGCATGTCAGGAACCAGAGCTGGTACCTCTGGCGGCAGCACAGCAGGGACCTCGGGCGGCGGCGCAGCAGGGACCTCGGGCGGTGGCGCAGCAGGGACCTTGGGTAGCACCGCAGGAACTGCTAGCACTGGAACCTTGGGGGGCGGAGCATCAGCCACCTGCACAGGATCCACGGGGGGTGGAGCATCAGCCACAGGGACAGGAACCTCAAGGGGCAGAGCTGGGAATTGCACCTCCATTGTGAGTGCGGTCTCAGGGAAAGGAACAGCATTAACCTCAGGTGCCGTAGCCCCCCTATCGAGGGAGCCTGGTCCGTCCTTAAACGGAGCAGCCTCCTCAGGTTCTCTGCTATCCTGTCCAGATCGTGTGGTGGTGAAGTCGGGGTAAACCTAGCAAACTCTCCTTGAAACTGTGTACACAGCTGGGCTCTTTCGCGAGGTGAGCGTCTTCAGATAGGGACCCCCCTTCGAGAATGTCCTGCGCCCGGAAAGCGAGGGCTCGCAGCACAGGTTTGTTGTTTACCTCAGGCTGATCAAGCCAGTACAATGCCTTGTTGGCCAGATCGAGGGCCCGGCAACCTATAACTCCTCAGAGGCTCAGCCGACACTTGCCATATCTGAGCTTGTGAGTGCCTCAGAGGTTAAGCCAGTGTTTGCGATAACTCAGCATGTGCGTGCCTCAGAGGCTGGGCAGGCCTCTTGCCATAACTCAGCGTGTGCGTGACTCAGAGGCTGGGCTGGACTTTTACCGTAAACCAGTGTGTGCGTGCCTCAGAGGCGGAGCCGTTGTTCACCATAACATGGGCAGTCGTATCAGGCCTCAGAGAAACAGGGTCGAGTCAGAGGCTGCAAGAGAGTGTTAGAAATAAACCCAATCTACGGGAAAAATGCAGAGGTTAGCAAAGTCAGACAGCCAAGAAGTAATCAAAACACAGTTTATTCACAGTTAATACAAGACACATTAATTTAACCAAATATAACATTAATGTAATTCTAACATGTGGCCACAATTCCTAAACTATACCATCCAATCAAAAACAATACAACAATTACATACCTCAGCTGAGTGGACACAGAGTAACTGCAGAAAATATCTGATTACAGATGTAGATTCACACAGCACTATGTGGGAGTTCTGATTACAGAGTGTCTCCCTTTGCTACTCTGGAGCTCTTCCTTAAGTATTCCAAACCAAGTGACAGAATGTACCAAATACTGTGATTTATTATTTTAGGGACTGTTTTGATCTTGTGTGTGTGTCCTGGAGAACTGCTGATCTTATCAATTCAAAGACCCTCAGCCAATTGAATTGCTTTAGGAGGAATGTGGGAATTCCGTTGTTCCACCAAGTGATAAGGTCCTCCACATTGATGGGTTTAGTCTTATTTTCTATATTTATCTTATGTTATAACATACAGTTTTATGGTTGAAAGTATTGTACTCGTCGTACTGTGACCATTCAAATGAAACCAAACATGGGTGTACGTGTCCCTAGTGTTAGTGTGGGGTAATACCTCCTGTGTTAGTGTGAGTTAGCGAGTGTACAGTAGGATGCGTCTGTGTCTTAAGGCAGCCAGGCCTTGTCGCTGGAATTTGACTACTGAGTTCTGGCAGCCCAGTGGGGGTGAGGTATCCCCTTTTGATGTAGTGATCGGGTGATTTGGGTCCAGTCCTGTTGGAGCCGGTGGACCATTGCCTTAGGACACTGGGTGGAACATTGCAGGCTTGCCAGAGCTCAGACCGAGGGGGCCTGCAAGGCCTGTGCCCTTACAGCACCTAGACTCTGGAAAGCTCTTCCACTAGCTTTACACTCTGCTGAGTCAGTTGACTCCTTTTAAACACATCTTAAGACTTTCTTGTTTAAGAAGGCCTTTGAATAGAGCTGAGTTAATGCTGCTTGGGCTTTCTTCTCTAATATTTATGTGTCTTTATTACTCATGTTTATTTTTTATATTCCTCATGGTATTCTAATTTTTATTGTTATATTTTTTGTTCAGCAAACACAGTGACTTGTGTCTGTACACAATGACTTGTGTCTGTGAAAAGTGCTTTATAAATAAATTTTACTTACTGACTTACTGGACTTACTATAAGGCACAGGCAGCTCCTTGTGGCCTCAGGCAAATAGGGGCCCCATGAAAACAGAATTTCCAGAAGTTACATTTATGGATATAAGATAACAAGATCATTTATATTATAGCAGTGTGTCTGTTATTGCATTTTTAACTACAGTTTTTAGGACTTCGCGATACCCTGCTTTCTATTGAGTCTAGTGGCAGGCTACTGGTTGTTTCAGCGAATGAGCACATATAGCCTAACAGAAGTAGAAAGATACAAGACTCACATTACATCTCCTGTGTCTTTGATACTGTCCCGCTAGTGTGGTAGACAACTTGTGAATAGACATGGAAAAAACACAATTAAAGGCACGTATTCAAAAATCCAAGAGTAACATTAGCCTTTTTTTTTTTTTTTTTTTTTTGAAATGTGTCCTGTCCTGCAGCTTTAGCAAGCAGAATAATGGTCTGAATGCACTGCTGTGTCAGACATATTTGCTTTGCCATGAGGGGCTCTATAGACTCTGTATAGGCCCTTCATGTTGGTCAATTTCTTTTTATTTGTATATTTATTGTATTTTGTTTTTAACACATGTAAAATATTCCAGTTGCCGAGCTGTCCGGAAGGGAGTGATAGTGAAGAAAAGGGGTAGGGAGAGAGAGGAGAAATTTAAAGGGGGCGAGAGAGGAGAAAAAAAAAAAAGAAAAAAATTAGCTTTTTTTTTTTTTTTTTTTTT